TTTTATCTCATACTTTTGACTTTTTTTGGGGGGGGGGGCATAATTATGACTTTTTATCTTATCATTTTGACTGGTTCTGTCATAATCATAACTTTCCCTTATAATTCATATTTTTATCTCATAATGTTGTCTTTATGTCATAATTATGACTTGTATCTCAGAATTTAGATTTTTTTTTACATAATTATGACTTTTTATCATAATTTGGTTTTTATCTCATAATTTTTACTTTTTGTCGTAATTATGACTTTTTATCTCATTTAAAATTTTGTTTTGGGGGGCATAATTATTACTTAATTTGTCATAATTATGACTTTTTATCTTATAATTTTGACTGGTTCTCTCATAATTATAACTACCCTAAAAATCTAATAATTTAGATTTTTATCTCATAATTTTGTCTTTTTGGCATTATTATGCCTTTTTATCTCATAATTAATTTTTTTTGCCATAATTATCTCATAGTTATGATTTACCTAAGCTTCCATAACATCAGCAATCTGAACAAGTGAGACGATGCTTTAAAGATGACTTGTAGATGATTGAGAGATGAAAGCATCACGTGTGTGTCTCCGGTACCTTCAGCGCTCCACACAGCTCCACCGTGTCGCTCTCCTTCACCACAGTGATGCGGAAGTTCGGCGTCTGCAGAAGCTCTTTGAAGACCTTGCCGTTGGATTCATTAGTGGCTCCTGAAACACACACACACACACACACACAGTCATAAACACACTTATCATTTTGACTGGTTCTGTCATAATCATAACTTTCCCTTATAATTCATATTTTTATCTCATAATGTTGTCTTTATGTCATAATTATGACTTGTATCTCAGAATTTAGATTTTTTTTTACATAATTATGACTTTTTATCATAATTTGGTTTTTATCTCATAATTTTTACTTTTTGTCGTAATTATGACTTTTTATCTCATTTAAAATTTTGTTTTGGGGGGCATAATTATTACTTAATTTGTCATAATTATGACTTTTTATCTTATAATTTTGACTGGTTCTCTCATAATTATAACTACCCTAAAAATCTAATAATTTAGATTTTTATCTCATAATTTTGTCTTTTTGGCATTATTATGCCTTTTTATCTCATAATTAAATTTTTTGTCATAATTATCTCATAGTTATGATTTACCTAAGCTTCCATAACATCAGCAATCTGAACAAGTGAGACGATGCTTTAAAGATGACTTGTAGATGATTGAGAGATGAAAGCATCACGTGTGTGTCTCCGGTACCTTCAGCGCTCCACACAGCTCCACCGTGTCGCTCTCCTTCACCACAGTGATGCGGAAGTTCGGCGTCTGCAGAAGCTCTTTGAAGACCTTGCCGTTGGATTCATTAGTGGCTCCTGAAACACACACACACACACACACACAGTCATAAACACACGAGGTCAAGCGCTCTGCAGGTTTCTCACAGGAAGTGATGTCACACACACCGATGGTGGTCTCGCAGAACTTCTCCTCGGCCACCTCGCTGGCGATGTTGGCGCCCATCAGCACACTGACCTCGATCTCCAGCTTGGACCTGATGATGTCCGAGATCAGGGTCAGTCCATCCGGACCCTCATCGATACCCTAAACACACACACACAGAATGATCAATACTGTTTAGTAATAAATATAATACATACATTCAGGATTATTATAATTAACCAATACTATTAAATCTAAAAATATAAAAAATGTCACAGTATTTCTCACTTTCATTTATTTTAAGTTGAAGCATTAAAATGACTAACTTGAAATAAAAAAAAAACTGAAGTAAACCTTAAAATGATAATAATAATAGTAAACAATACTAAAATATCGCTGACTGGGGAAAAAAGATATGGTGGTTGGCTCATACTTTAATGAGGGAGATGCCGGTGGCTCCAGGTTTGACGTGAGGTTTCATCTGGTCACAGATCTTCCCAATAAACTGATGAGGAATGACGAAGATGAGGACGTCTGCTCCGCTCGCGGCCTCGGTGACATCAGGAACAGCCACCTGAGGAAACAGAGCAGATCTGAACCCTGGTGCTCTCTCAGCAGGGGCTTCACGGAAATCCACTCAAACACAGATCTTTACATCAGTGCTTCTTAACCTTTTAAACTATATTTGAAAGTCTTTCATATTATTACAGCCACCGTTTCTGGTTCAATTATGACAACGCTCAAAAATGTCTTATAATTCTAACTTTTTGCCATAATTATGACTTTATCTCATAATTATCTCTCATAATTTTGTCTTTTTGTCATAATTTAGAATTGTTATCTTATAATTTCAACTGTTATAATTAACTTTTTATCACATAGTTTTGGCTTTTTATCTCATAATTTCAACCTTTTGTCAATTATGACTTTATATCTCATAATTATGATTTTTTTTTTCCCTCAATGCCATAAATATGACTCTTTAAACTCATAATTTCACCTTTTTGGCATATTGTAGATTTTTTTTTTATCTCATAATTACAACCTTTTGTCAATTATGACTTTATATCACATAATTATGAATTTTTATCTCAATTCCATAAATATGACTCTTTAAACTCATAATTTCATCTTTTTGGCATCATTTTGATTTTTTTAATCTCATAATTTCAACCTTTTGTCAATTATGACTTCATATCTCATAATTATGAATTTTTATCTCAATGCCATAAATATGACTCTTTAAACTCATAATTTCATCTTTTTGGCATCATTTTGATTTTTTAAATCTCATAATTTCAACCTTTTGTCAATTATGACTTTATATCTCATAATTATGAATTTTTATCTCAATGCCATAAATATATGACTCTTTAAATTCATAATTTCATATTTTTGGCATAATTTAGATTTTTTTTAATCTCATAATTTCAACTGTTATAGTCTAAGTTTTATCACATTATTTCGACTTTTTATATAATTTCTTTTAACTTTTTGTCATAATTGTAAACATTTGTCTATGTTACATGTTCCCAGTGTGTTACCCTCATTAGTTGCCATAGTCACTCACTGGACCACACCCACTCCTTGTTAGCTCCTTGTATGAAACAGCGCTTGAGTTTCTCTTGTGCTTTGGCAGTTGTTGGATGTTATGGTGCCGTTTCTGCTCGTGTTCTGTTCCTTGTTTCCCGTGTTTTGGTTTATTGTTTGTTCTTGTTTTGTTATTAAACTGCCTGCATTTAGATCCATGTTCCCTGCCTGCTTGCTTCATCCTCCAGCACATTACAGTCTAACTGTTATAATCCACTTTTTATCATATCATTTAGACTTTTATCTTATAATTATGAATTTTTATCTCATAATTATTATTTTTGATGCCATAAATGAGTTTTTATCTCATTATTTTTTTCATTTTTGTCAGAATTTAGACTCAGAAACTGTTATAAACCACTTTTTATCACAACATTTAGACTTTTATATCATAATTATGATTTTGTTTCTCATAATTATTTTTAATGCCATAAATGAGTTTCTCATAATTTTTTACTTTTTGTCAGAATTTTGACTTTGTCATAATTTCAACTGTTATAATCCACTTTTTATCACATAATTTATACTTTTATCTCATAATTATGATTTTTTTTTTTAATAACTAATATTTTTAATGCCATAAATGAGTTTTTCTCATAATTTTTTATGTTTTGTCATAATTTTGACTTTGTCATAATTTCAACTGTTATAATCAACTTTTTATAACAACATTTAGACTTTTATATCATAATTATGATTTTTTTTCTCATAATCATTTTTAATGCCATAAATGAGTGTCACAATTTCAACTGTTATAATCAACTTTTTATCAACATTTTTACTTTTTATCTCATGCTTATGACTTTTAATACCATAAATATGACTTCATAATCTCACAATTTCATCTTTCTGTCATAATTGTAACTTTTTATCTCATTTTTATTTCTTGAATCTTTTTCATTTTTGATTAAGTTTTCATTCATTTTTAATAAAATTAACCATCTGGGTCCAGCAACAACCTCGTATGACCCGTTCTGTTCCAGCAGGTTACCTTCATAAAGCGGGCGGACATTTCTAATTCAGCATCTGAATGATTGCTTCATCACTTCTATTATTCCTTCAGCTTTGACCTGGTTAATTATAGTCTGTTTGAGTTCCTGTTCTCCAACTAATCCAAATTTGTGTGCAATGATTTCAAAACCACAAGTTCACATTTGCTCATTTATCTTTTCCCATCATGACCTCTGCCTCACTTACTCAGTGGTTACTTCACTATTAATCTGCTTCTAACGTTGTGTCATTTAGCCGCAGTAACGTGTAGATGAGTGTAAAGGTGATCAGTGCAAAGATCAGCACTTTAATCTGTGTGTAACCCTACTGATAACCAGCTCACATCTAACATTTACTCAAAGATACCATGGTATTACCTTCTGAACTTCACTAGAGCTATCAAAAATATCCAAATTAATTTATCAAAATGTTATTTATGAATGTTCTCTAAATGTTCTGAACGTTTTTTAAATGTTTCTTCTTGGTTATACGAACATTCCATTTGATCATTTTGCAAACATTATGGGAACGTTACTTTTAAATGTTCTCTGATGATTCTGGAAAATATAGTAACATTTATAAAATGTTACTACAACTGAAACGCTTCAGAAAAAACGCTACATGAACAATTGTATAAATAATGTTTTTGTGGTAACATTTTGAGAACATTATTAAACGTTCTATTAACGTAATTCTTCTGGTCATACAGGTTAAGCATCTTTGAATTACCTTGCAGTACCATCAAAGTACCATGGTATTATGGTCTGTTCCCATCACTGTACTATTAAAGAGAAACACACACCACATTTTTGGGCAGTTTGTGTCCGGGCAGATATTTGACGTTCTCGTGTTCGGTGTTGATGATCTCGGTGAGTTTGCGTCCGTCAATCATCTCCTCATAGACCCACATCTTCACCAGCGGATCGAAGCGGTTCGACGCTTTCACATTGTGCCCGATGATCTTAGCGATGGCAGAACCCCTGACCAACATTAAAAACACACATATGCAACACAAACACATTAAAAACAACAAAGTACCACCTTACTTTCCATATGGCAAAAAAAATATTTTTTTTAAAATACATTATTTAAAATATATTTTCAAAATAAATTTTTAAATGCTTTTAAAAAATATATCTAATTTTTAAATATATTTTCAAAATTTACAATTTTTTTTGTATATTTTTAAATATATTTGAAAACATATTTTTTGCCATATGGGTTTTCACTGGGAACACACACAACTACAGTAAAACAGTTGATTGATTGAATAACTGGATGTGAAACTGTGAGAAGCTTCAGAATCAGGTTTACTACAGTAAATATGCTATTATGTGGGAAAAAACTGTGGTAACCATGGGAAATTCTGGTATTCTTATAAAATACCGCGGTAAATTACATGGCCATCAAACGGTAGTAACGAAGTACCATGGTGTGAGCATTAGAGCAGCTACAGTGGTAACACCAGCCGGTTCTGTAAGAGTACAGATGCAAATACACCAGTGTGGAAAGTCAAGACAGACGCAGGTGAAAATGAAAGCAGTCGCGCGTCTGATGTCGCGTCGCGTCGCGTTCAGCGCAGACAGCTGCTAAAGCGTTTCAGACGGATATAAGACGAAACTCACCAGTTTCCTGAGCCGATGATACAAACTTTCTTGCCAGGCATCGTGTTTGTTGTTGACTGAGGATCAGAGAGAGAATGAAGTTTGACTTCCTGACACACCCGACATACAGAGAGAGAGAGCGAGAGAGAGAGAGAGAGACAGAGA